TGTGTTTTGGGTGTCTGTGGAGTTATTATGATTTTAGGTAGCCTCTCTGCTAATGGGTGGGGTTGTGTTCCTGTCTTGCTAGTTGTTTGGCATAGGGTGTCCAGTACTGTAGCTTGCTGGTCGTTGAGTGAAGCTGGGTGCTGGTGTTGAGATGGAACTCTCTGGGAGATTTTCACCGTTTGATATTATGTTGAGCTGGGAGGTCTCTTGTGGACCAGTGTCCTGAAGTTGGCTCTCCCACCTCAGAGGCAGAGCACTGACTCCTGGCTGCAGCACTAAGAGCCTTTCATCCACACGGCTCAGAATAAAAGGGAGAAAAAGTAGAAAGAAGAAAGAAAGAGAATAAAATAAAATAAAGTAAGATAGAATAAAATAAAAAATAATTATTAAGAAAAAAAATTTTTTTTTAAGTGTAAAAAAAAAAAAAACTTACGGATAGAACCCCAGGACATATGGTGAAAGCAAAGCTATACAGGCAAAATCTCACACAGAAGCATACACATACACACTCACAAAAAGAGGAAAAGGGGAAAAAATCATAAATCTTGCTCTCAAAGTCCACCTCCTTAATTTGGGATGATTCGTTGTCTATTCAGGTATTCCACCGATGCAGGGTACATCAAGTTGATTGTGGAGCTTTAATCCGCTGCTTCTGAGGCTGCTGGGAGAGATTTCCCTTTTTCTTTGTTCGCACAGCTCCCAGGGCTCGGCTTTGGATTCGGCCCTGCCTCTGTGTGTAGGTCGCCAGAGGGCGTCTGTTCTTCGCTCAGACAGGATGGGGTTAAAGGAGCCGCTGATTCGGGGGCTCTGGCTCACTCAGGCCAGGGGGAAGGAGGGGCATGGAGTGCGGCGCGAGCCTGCGGCGTCAGAGGCCGGCGTGACGTTGCACCAGCCTGAGGCGCGCCGTGCGTTTTCCCGGGGAAGTTGTCCCTGGATCACTGGACCCTGGCAGTGGTGGGCTGCACTGGCTCCCTAGAAGGGAGGTGTGGATAGTGACCTGTGCTTGCACACAGGCTTCTTGGTGGAGGCAGCAGCAGCCTTAGCGTCTCATGCCCGTCTCTGAGGTCCGCGCTTTTAGCCGCGGCTCGCGCCCGTCTCTGGAGCTCCTTCAAGCAGCGCTCTTAATCCCCTCTCCTCGCGCAGCAGGAAACAAAGAGGGAAGAAAAAGTCTCTTGCCTCCTCGGCAGCTGCAGACTTTTCCCCGGCCTCCCTGCCGGCTAGCCATGGTGCACTAACCCCCTGCAGGCTGTGTTCATGCGGCCAACCCTAGTCCTCTCCCTGCGCTCCGACCGAAGCCCCAGCCTCAGCTCCCAGCCGCGCCCGCCCCTGCAGGTGAGCAGACAAGCCTCTCGGGCTGGTGAGTGCCGGTCGGCACCGATCCTCTGTGCGGGAATCTCTCCGCTTTGCCCTCCGCACCCCTGTTGCTGTGCTCTCCTCTGCGGCTCCGAAGCTTCCCCCTCCGCCTCCCGCAGGCTCCACCCGCAAAGGGGCGCCTGGTGTGTGGAAACCTTTTCTCTTTCACAGCTCCCTCCACTGGTGCAGGTCCCGTCCCTATTCTTTTGCCTCTGTTTTTTCTTTTTTCTTTTGCCCTACCCAGGTACGTGGGGGGTTTCTTGCCTTTCTGAGGTCTTCTGCCAGTGTTCAGTAGGTGTTGTGTCGGAGTTGTTCCATGTGTAGATGTATTTCTGGTGTATCCGTGGGGAGGAAGGTGATCTCCGCGTCTTACTCTTCCGCCATCTTCCCCCTCTCTTCCATAAATGAAATCTTATAGTATGTTACCTTTTGAGATTGACTTTTTTTTTTCACATAGCACAATACCCCTGAGATCGATTCAAGTTGCCGTGTGTAATGGTAGTCTGTTTATTTCTATTACCGAGTGGTATTCTATGCTATGGATGTTTCTTCAGCCATTCACCTATCATAAGATATTTTGGTTATTTCCAGTTTTTGAATATTAGAAATAAAGTGTTTAGGAACAATTGTGTACAGGTTTTTGCATGGACTTGAGTTTTCATTTCTTTGGGATAAATGCCCAGGAATGCAATTGCTGAGTGGTATAAGTATATGTCTAGTTTTGTAAGAAACTGCCAGACTAGTTTCCATGATAGCTGTACGATTTTACCTTTTCAACAGCAGTGTGTGAGAGATCCAGTTTTCCTGCATTCTTGCCAGCATTTGGTAGCGTCACTGTTTTATTTTACCTGATCTAAGAGGTGTGTAGTGACAGCTCTTTCTGATCTTAATTTGCATTTCCCTAATGGCTGCTGATGTTGAACATCTTTTCATGTACGTATTTGTCATCTGTATATTCTTTTCAGAGAAATATTGCTTCATGTCTTTTGCCCTTCTAGTTGCATTGTTTTCTCATTGTTGAGTTTTGAGTATTCTTTATATATTCTGGACATGAGTCCTTTGTCAAATATGTGGTTTGCAAATACTTTCTCCCAGTCTGTACTTGTCTTTTCATTCTCTTAATATTTTTATAGAGGAAATGCTTTAATTTTGATGATGTCCAGTGTATCTGGTTTTTCTTTTATGGATCATGCTTTTGGCATCATTTCTAAGAATTCTTCACCATTGCTAGGTCCTAAAATTTTTCTTCTATGTTTTCTTCTAAAGTTTTATAGCTTTACATTTTACATTTAAATTTGTGATCCATTTTGAGTTAATTTTTATATAAGGCATGAAGTTTAAATTCAATGTGGGTTTTGTTCTGTTGTGTTTTGTTTTCATTTTTGCCTATGGATATCTAATTGCTTCAGCACTATTTGTTGAAAAGACTGTTTTATTTCATTTAATTGCCTTTGTACCATTATGAGAAATCAGTTGGCCATACTTGTTGGGTATTTCTGGGTTCTTTATTCTGTTCTATTGATCTAAGTGTCTATCACTCCACAGAAACCACACCATCTTGATTATTACAGGTGTATTACCAGTCTTGCAATCAGGAAGTGTGATTCCTCCCACATTATTGTTCTCTTCACAATTGTTTAGCTGTTCTATCCTTTGCCTTTTCATATAAATTTAAAAATAATCTTGTCTATATTTACTAGAATCTTGTTGGGTTTTTTCTAGGAATTACATTAAAACTACATATCAGCTTGGGGATAACTGACTTTACTATGTCGAGTCTTTCATCCGTGAATACCATTTGTTTCTCCAGGTTTTAGATCTTCCTTGATTTCTTTCATCATCGTCGTATATTTTCGGCATATAAGTCCTGTACATCTTATGTTAGGTTTACATCTTTGTATTTTATGCGTATCTATAAACCAACCATTATAATCTAAGTATTTCATTTTTTATTGATTGTAACTGACATTGTATTTTTCATTTTGGCATCTGTGTTCATTGCCAGCATATAGAAATACAATGGATTTTTGTATACTAATGTTGTATCCTGTGACCTTACTGAACGTTCTTTTTAGTTCTAGGAGATTTCTGTATATTCCTTGGGATTTTCTATAAAGACCATCATGTTATCTACAAATAAAAACAGTTTTATTTCTTCCTTTCCAATCTGTATGCCATTTATTTCCTTTTCTACTTGTTTCATTGTCTAGAATTCCCAGCATCCTGTTGAATTACAGTGGTACGAGCAGGCATCCTTACCTTTTTCCTAATCTTAAGGGAAAGCATTCAGTCTTTCTCCATTATGTTACCAGTGGGTTTTTTATAGATGCTTTTAATCAAGGTTAGGAAGTTAGTTCTGCTCTATTACTAGTTTTTTGAGGATTTCTGTCATGAGGGTGTTGAATTATGTCAGATGCATTTTCTGCATCAGTTGATATAATCATGTGATTTTTCTTCTTTAGCCTATTAATATGATATAT